CTGAAATATCTTTGAGTTATCTTTGTATTTATTTTGTGTTTATCATCACGTGTTTATTATTGAGAATAATTCTTCGATGTTATTGTGAATCCTCACCCATGATTTCTTGAGTAATTGTCTTAGTTTTATTTACCCTTTAAGATTTATTTGAAGCTACAAAACCTAATGTAACATTGTAAAGACTTATTATCATCCAACATAGGTTGCTGTAGTTGGAATTTCACGTATAGATACTAAAGAACATCTTGATGATCACTATTATCTTATATCTGTTAAATATGCAAAGCAATTTACCTCTATGTTTACTGATACGTCTATTATTATTTTCTAAGATGATAAATGAGCCTATATTTGTAGCTGATCATGATTTTTCTATAGAAAGTGGGCAAAAACTAATTTCTTCAGTATACCTAATGATAAAACCAGATCATAAGTCAAAAGATGAACTTCAAACAGGATAGCTTGCAATTTTTATACGTCCCAATAGTCTATTGGTACATTTTCACTTACATATATGTAAGATCTAGAAAGCCTCACCTTAGATTCTAAATATAATGACGTATTTAAAACTAATAGATAAATTTGACCTATTTGAATATTATTAGTAGATGGAAGACCAGATGAAAATCTTAGACATTTGAAAAATATAAAAGTATCTTATCAGCTTTTTAAAAAATTTGACTTAGATTACTTAAGTATATGAACACATGCTTCAAGACAATCAAAATATAATTCTATTGAAAGAAGCATAACAACATTATCTGGAAAACTTGCTAAAATTACATTACCAATTGATTATTTTGGTAAACATCTGAATTCGTAAGGTATTATTATAGATTCTGAATTGGCTGCTCAGAATTTTTAATATGCTGAAGAAGCTCTTTACAAAATTTAGAACTGTAATTTAATTTTTGAAAAATACGTTAATGCTCAATACATTGATACGCTTAAGAATTCTTTTGAAGATTTGCAGTTTGAGAGTATAGAAAAAGAGAAAGCTGAAGAATTATAACTACTAGAAAAGTAAAAAAATGCATAAAATAAAGATGAAGATAATGCAGGCGAAATGCTTGCCTTTTCTGAATGTTTTGTTTCATGGTCTTAGATCAAAAAATACTGCAATTTGTACATATATTCAATTGATATTAAAAGGTTCAAGGATGCAAGTTGTTGTGGACTACCTAAAGCTAAAGACGTCATAGAATTTCTTGAAATCTATAATAGTTTTTTGCCACCTATTACTAAAGCTAAAGATGGACACTTTACAAATCCTAACTATCTACTTCAGTATTGTGATCTTTTAATAATTCTAGGCTATGATGCTCATTACTCAACCCTTAAAGAAAAGTATTTCTGTCTTTGCTATTTTACTTATTAAAAGTATTTTCCTATTCTTACCTTTTTAATGAAATACAGAAGAATACTATATCTTACAGTTCAGAAGCAGTCAAAAGAATAATTCTAATAAATGAAATAAGCGAAATATAATAGTGTTTGATGATTTTTCTCTTCTGAAATCACAGCTATCAAAATGTCTTATTCTATATGTTGAAATTCCATTAAGAAGTTATTTGTCAGATAGAGAGTAACTGAGTAGAATGTATTAAATTCACTGACAGTGTCTCTCTCATGTATAGAGCCTCCTGCTTTCATCCCTGCAAAGATGTCACATAATTTTTGTTATTACTATTGAGGTTATTTGATTTGTTATTCTATATTCAGAAGGATATTATTACTCTATGCTGAACTTGGAATAGAAGGTTGTTTCAGAAGACCATATTTTGCATTTTTTAGCAATGATCATAATGCTATAGATTTACTAATTGATTTAGTTATCTCATGTGAACTATCTGTGATAATATTAATAAAGTGACATTAGGACTAATGCTTTTCTATGAGAACAAACTATAGTTTTGTAATTATTGTATTGTACTGGTTGAAATCTTTGGTATAAGTTTTAGGTGCTTTTGTTTTGCAGAATGCGATGTTTTTTTGGACAATCTTTGATATTGTGGTATAATAAGAAACAAATAGCATATAATTAAACTTTGGTCTCAGTTCATTCTATGTGTTTGCCATTAATAGTAAGGTTATTATTGCTAATCACTGCTTTGTAATCATTAGCTAAAGAAAAATAGAAAAATGCGTATTATAGATTATGATTATTGAATCTGATTTTAGGAATAATTCAGGTCATTGCATTAACCATTAAGCCTAATTTAGATAAATCTTTACCCGTAGTGTAATGAGAAAGATATGTAAGTTTAGCTAAGAAATTTGATTGTTCTAGGATTTTATTACGTGACAGGTCACACATATAGAAATGAACTATGTCATTAAAGAGAAAGATACTATAACCTTTTTTAAATTCAACAAAGTTATCGTCAGAGTTAATCGTAGCTTGTTGCTAAAAATTTTTTATTTTCATATTAAATCTAACGATCTTGTCAAATTGAAAGAAAAACTTTTTAATTTGTATTTCTGTGATATCTAATAGTATCTCAGTAACTTTAATTAATTGTTGTGAAACAAATAGGTGTTTTGATAAAATATTAAAAGGTAAAAACATGCATTTATTCAAATTAGGCAAATTAACTTTGCAAAAATATATCCTTTTCATCTTTGTCAAAAAAGGTCGCTTTTAAGATTTTCTTTAATTAGTCCTCTAAGTGTTTGGTAAATACAACATCTGAAATAAGTTAAACTAATTAAAAATGAGGTTAGTAATATCAGAGATTTTTATTTGGGATATTTTCAAAATAGTCATCAGCTAAAAAAAATATGAAAAAATTCGTTTTTTTGGTAAAAATTTCTTGAGGGCTTTTTTGTTGTTTAAAAAATTTTCAGAAGTATCATTATCATCATCGATGTTCATATATGTTTAGTTGAGAGTGATAACTTGAGTTATTTCATTTGCCAAAACTTCTTTACTGTTTTCTTTGTCAAGTGAAAGAGAATCAATGTCCATAATAACTGGAGTTTTATTGTTATTATTATCAGTGGAGATACTACTTTCAGGTTCAGTAGTTTGTAAAATATTCTATCTTTTATTGGGTTATAATTCTGAAGTACCAAGACAAGAGCAAGATTATTATTTTTGTTGATTTTTATTGTTTTTTTTCTTTGATTTGCTCATGTTGTAAAAAGAGTTTATCGTTTAAAAAATAAAAAATAAAAAAAATAAAAATAAGCTATTTTTAGATGATCAGATACAGTCAACTTTTGTTATAGCAAACTCTTGATATAACGAATTTTTTGAACAAATATAATAAAATACTCTTATTATAGCGAATTGGCCAATCAAATCTCTTAAAATCTTCACTATAGCCTTATAGCGAAGTTGAGGT